AAGCCGGGCAACAATCGCAAGACAACAAAAGACCCGGGTGGGGAGGAGGCGAGCTGGTACCATATGTTGACCAAGTTCAACGCGCTCAGGTCGCAGGGGCTGTGTTTTTTTCAACTTCAAAATGGGAGGAGGGCAGCGCCCTCCCAGCGACGTATCCTCCCCAATTGCCTTCGTGAACAGCGAGGCGGTGTGGCTTTCACAGGGCTCATCCCCGAACAATGTTCATGGGAATAACCGAGGGAAAGGGTCAGAGAGGGGGCATTTCTGGGTCGTCGACTCGTCCTGGTCACCCACAAACCTCGCCCGACTCACCCCTGTTCCTCAAAAGGAACAAGAAGCAAAATGATGTCAAAGGCGCGAGTTTCCTAGGGCTTCCTACTGACTTTATGCCCGTTTGGAAAGACGTCGATTTTTTCGTCGCGTGCCAGCTGACGGTGTCATTCTTGTTTTCTACCCCTCTGTTTCGTCGTGAACCGACGTTTCACTTTCTTTTCTTTTTTTTTTTTTTAATATATTTTATTGAATTTTTTTTACAGAGAGGAAGGGAGAGAGATAGTTAGAAACATCGATGAGAGAGAAACATCGATCAGCTGCCTCCTGCACATCCCCTACTGGGGATGTGCCCGCAACCCAGGTACATGCCCTTGACCGGAATCGAACCTGGGACCCTTCAGTCGGCAGGCCGACGCTCTATCCACTGAGCCAAACCGGTTTCGGCGACGTTCACTTCTTTTCGAAGAGACTCTAGGGCCCCCATCGTCGAGTTAATTTTTTTTTTCTCCTGACTCAGGGGAAACTGCTTCTGATTCATCGGCCCGTGTTATGTCACCTTGAAAAAAATTTATTTTTTTCTCTCAAGGACTCAGAACTTTCTAGGACCAATTTGCAAATTTACGTGCCAAATAGTCACCGCTCAACAGAAAGTAACTTTTGGTGAAACCGCAGTTATCTCTTTAAATCCACAGCATCTATTATCATTTGATTTCTATAGGCTACTGAGCAATGCCAGACCTTCTGGGAATGATGGGAGCGTTTGCGTAGTTATTATGATTTCACTGCCATAAAAATAAATAAAGACCTCGCTTCTCAGAGCTTATTAAAATAAAACCTGTTCACCCCTTCGGCAGAAAAAAATAAGGTCAATTTTTCAGGGCCTCTCGCATTTTATGATCTACAATGTATGCGAGAATATTCTTTGCAATGGGAGTTGGCGACACTGCACAGCCCTGTTTCCCAGTAAAATGTCTAAAATGCAGCAAAATTTCTAAAAGATCGCTGTTTTTCCCAAAGTAGTTTCCCTGTCTGCAATAAAAAAAAATTTAAATTTAAAAGTAGTAACTATAAGGCAGGAGGCAGGTAAAAATCAGAATGTAACTACATTTTGCCTTGAGCTTCATAAGACTGCATCGACAAGAGAAACCGATCTTGCCTCTATAAAGAAAGGTGAATAGAGAGAAGAATATAATCATAACGATAATCGTAGATTTAATCGTAAGCACTTTCCCACGTGCTTGCACTTTTGTTTTATTCTGATTCTTCTTTTGCAGACACAAAAAGTACAAAACAGATAATATTCTGTGTCATAAAACATGGGTAAGAAATAATGGCTATCGTAGGGTGACTAAGATAGTTCACTGATACAATATTTGAGTATGAAACAAAGAATGACATCATGAGATGATTATAATTCTCATACTATCATCTCTCTTTACATAATTTTATTTCATTAAAAATTAAAACTCGATGTGCCTTAGAAATATGGTTTATAATGTCTATACTCACAAGGGTAGTGAAATGAAAAATTAACCACCACACCTCAAAAACTGGCTCAAGACATTGAATTGTTTTCATTTAGAAAAACAATAGTATAGGATGCAACGAAATTATTTTTTTTTCTGTGTATGGGATCAACTTGGAGTTAAAAAGGACAAAACCAAGTCTCAACAAGCAAAAGAAAAACAAAACACTTTTAAAAACCACATATCCACAACCGTTTAAATATTTTTGAAAGTATGAAGATTGAATCACTTATTTTCAAACTTTGGATCTTCTTTATGAAAGAACTTAGCAAAAACCCATTCTCCAAGGCCCTTGGCCAGATTCCCATATAAAGTTTGGGCTTCTTTTATTTTTATTTTTTTAATTTTTATTGGTATCAGAGAGGAAGGGAGAGGGAGAGAGAGAAAACATCCATGATGAGAGAGAATCGTGGATCACCTGCCCCCTGAACGCCCCCCACTGGGGATAAAGCTCACAACCTGGGCATGTGCCCTGACTGGGAATCGAACCATGACCTCCTGGTTCATAGGTCGACGCTTAACCAGTGGACCACACCAACCGGGCAAGTTTGGGCTTCTTTAGTCATAAAGTCAAAGTCATGAGACGCAGCAGTATCTAAGGCAGCGGTTCTCAACCTGTGGGTCGCGACCCCTTTGGCGGTCGCACGACCCTTTCGCAGGGGTCGCCTAAGACCATCCTGCAGATCAGATATTTCCATGACGATTCATCACAGTAGCAACATGACAGTGATGAAGTAGCCACGAAAATAATTGTATGGTTGGGTCACCACATGAGGAACTGTGTTTGAAGGGCCAGAAGGTTGAGAACCACTGAATTTTAAGGCCTCTTTCAGCTCCAACCCCCCCCCCCCCCCCCTCGTAAAGGGCTCCAAGAAATGCTGTGAACTGGGATCCGGGCGATGAAGTTCGTCACCACTACAGAGCTGCCTGCCTTAGTATTTTACTAAGTATGTGAGGGCTGACCTCACACGTATGGAGCACAAAGCAACCGTTCAGCCCGACGGAGCAATCCCCATCCCCAGCGGAGAGGTCACAGAGAGGGTCAGCAGAATGAAAAGGGTGTCCCTGAGAAGGTCACGGTCGCCTTGAGGGGAAACCCAAGTTAGGGGTCTTCAGACCCCCTAGAATTCTCGGGGTTTACAAGATGGAACACACACACACGCACCCCACAGAGACCTGAACAGGTCAGTGGACAAGAGAGAATTGAGAAGACAAAGAGAAGAACCGCCCGGCCGGCGTGGCTCAAGGGTTGAGCATCGACCTAGGAACCAGGAGGTCACGGTTCGATTCCCGGTCAGGGCACATGCCCGGGGTTCAGGCTCCATCTCCAGTGTGGGGCGTGCAGGAGGCAGCCGGTCCATGATTCTCTCTCATCATTGATGTTTCTCTCTCTCCCTCTCCCTTCCTCTCCGAAATCAATGAAAACATATTTTTAAAAAGAGAGAACATTATTTTTAAACGGCAAAATGAGTCAGAAGGCTCTCAGATGGCTGCCCATGACTTGGGGACAAACCCAATTTAACTTTCTATGTCCAACCGTGTTCTCACTGTAAGGACTTTTTTTCACCGACGTGAGATATTGACAAATCTGTTCTTTCTCTCAAGGGCTAAACCCAAGTTAAGGGCGCACACCCTCTTGTTTTGTAAAAGAACAGCCATGGACTGCTCTAGACTGGTTAACCGTCTGCACGCCCAGGTGCCTGCATCTTCAGTGCAATTTCCTGGTCTTAAATGCTGGTCTCAGAACCACGTGCCTATAATGGTTTCTTTTGTTGTTGCTGTTAATCCTCACGGAGGATATTTTTCCACTGGTTTTTAGAGAGAGTAGAAGAGAGAGGGAGAGACAGAGAGAGAAACATCCATGTGAGAGAGACCCATCGATTGGTTGACTCCAGCACATGCCCTGACTAGAGCCAGGGATAGAGCCCGCAACCCAGGTCCGTGCCATAGACCGGAATCGAACCCGGGACCCTTCAGTCTACGGGCCGATGCTCTGTCCACTGAGCCAAAGCGGCTAGCGCTATAATCGTTTCTGAAGGAACTGCTTCAAACAGGGTCGTGTGTCAGCGTTCATGCCTGTCAATGATGAGAACTATGAAAATCACATCTGTGAATGTCACTTCCGGTGACATGGGCAGTATTACACTTTTATCATCTTAACAGCGATGAGGACTGTTTTAGCCCATTTCTGGGCAGATAACGAAAAGGAACCTGCTCCTCATTTTCCGTAAAAAGGGCTCATTTCTATCAAAGTGTAAATTTGTATTTTTAACCACATATTATATCACTCATTTCAGAATGATCAATCTATACTGTAAATTTTAAAAGGTTGTTCTATTTACACACATCATGTCGTCAAAGTAATAATTCATCAGTTTGGTCCTACACAACACGTAAGGAATTACTGAAGACCATGATTTGAAATACAAACGGAGGAAATGCATTCTGAAGCCTCTCGTTTCCTTTTAAGAAAACAGAGCTATAAAAGAGAATTCCTTAACAGTAAGAAAATACTCTTCTTCCCACTGATGTAGAGAGAGAGAGGAAAGGAGAGGGAGAGAGAGAGAAACATCCGTGTGAGAGGGAAACATCCATGTGAGAGGGAAACATCCATGGGCTGCCTCCTGCACACCCGCCACGAAATGAAGCCCGCCACCCGGACATGTGCCCTGACCAGGAACTCCACCGGCAACCCTCAGATGCTCAACCAACTGAGCCACACGGGCCAGGACGAGAAAATACTGGCAATTCCATTCACAGACGTAAGTGATTCGGCTATGACTGTAACAGGAGCGAACCGATCCCTCGTTGATAGCAGCCACTACTCACTTCTACGTAGACAGACATAGTAGGAGGGTGTTCAACAGAGTACCGTGTCATTTTTCTGATGGGGAAATTTGTAAGTGGTTCAAAATATCGATCCCATAGCTAGATTTTTAGAGAGTGTAAAACTGTGGTAACACGGAATATTCCGGTCCTATTTGCCTCATTCTCAGGGCTTCGTCCTCACCCACCTCCGGGGAACTTTACAAGACGTTCCCCATCCATCCTGCCCTCATGGCCTTTGCTCTGAGTTAATCAAAGAAATCCTGAGAGCAACGCACGGGTCCTAGCGGCGGCCGACACCGAGATCAGAATCACAGTCCTCGGATTTTAAATGTTTTTTTAAAAAAAGGGCAGGATTCCTACCTGGTCTCCGAAGTCCTCCGGGAATTTCCACAAAACCACGGGATCTGTAAGGAATTAACACATGGCATTAAACAGAGGCAAACACACACACACACACACACACACACACACACAACACAGCCACGGTTATCAAAATCCTCTGAACAGGTCAAAGCGCCTTTTAAAAAATGCCCAGCCCAGCCCTGAATGGCAAGGCTGTGGTATTTCCCCCCGACCATCCGACCGCAGGAAAGCACTGGCAAGTCCCGTCAGGGCTGGAGGTTACTGCCAGTCGCGCGTGATGGGAAGAGAATTTAAACAGAAATGTGGTTCCCGGTACCATGTGCTGATCTGAAGCTCATACAAAGGGAGTGAGGTTATTTTTTTCTTCCAACCCATGACTGCTCAATGCTACACCTAACCATTTGAGCACCGCATGTTGAGTAGACAACCCACCGCCTACATCTGAAGACGGTGGGACGGAGAAATAAGGCCAGATACATACATGGAGGATTTGGAATGATGGCATGAGGCAGCTCAAGTTCTCCTCCTACATTCATGAATAACCAGATACGTAACCTTTTGTTTTTGTATATAATGGCCTAAACCCTTATAGACTTGCTCTGAACAATACTTAGACATTTGTATGTGAAGAAACCTGGGAAAAGATAATTGCTCATAGATTCAAATCAACAACGTTCTCATTCTAGATCTAAAATAATTCTTATTTGCCCGGCCGGCGTGGCTCAGGGGTTGAGCGTCCGGCTAGGTGCCAGGTGGTCACGGTTCGATTCCGGGTCAGGGCACAGGCCCGGGTTGTGGGCTCCATCCCCAGTGTGGGGTGTGCAGGAGGCAGCCGATCCATGATTCTCTCTCATCATTGATGTTTCTCTCTCTCTCTTCCTCTCCGAAATCAATAAAAACATATTAAAAATAAATAAAATAATTCTTCTTTGAGTTTGACTTACAGCTACAAAACCCTTAAGGAAGTGAAATTCGTATTTTAAGATGTGTTACTTTAGATCCAGCTGCAAAGTGGCAGAGGCTCGCGTCTACCGGCTACTTTACATAAACGCACACACTCAGAACAGAACAGCAGGCAATTTGGGAAACTTTGTCCGTTAGTTTCACCTCTTAAAACGTATACAAGCAAGGGGTGCAGACGCATCTAGTATCATGGCCCCTCTGTGACCGTCCTCCCCGGGAACAATCATTCAGAGAATCAAACCACTCCGACTGTCAAATTATCTTGGTCCTTCGGACCCTCAAGCCATAAAAGCAATTTAACCGAGAACTCCGGCCTTTCTAGATGTTTCCCCCCAGAATGATCCCACATTAGCTTCCCGCCCCAGAACAATGCAGGCTCTTTTGGCTCAGAGGTAAGGGAATCCCAGCTCAGGTAATGACCATGGAACGTCCAAGAACTTTAAACTCTTAATTCATAGCAGGTTAATGTATCACTTGGCTTCTTCCGGGCCCTTTCAAGCAAAGACCTATTATCATAAAATGAAAACCTTCATCAATCGCCTGATCGAGCAATTCCGAGCCGATCGCGTGAGTCCAAACTTAACCCAACGGGGCTAATGGGTGCGAATTGAATTGAAAACACCTTGACAGAGAAAGCAATTTCTTTCCTTCGCACTCCTCTGGAGCTGTGGGTGACCGCGGTAATCGAACCATCAACAGCGAGGGGCCATCTGTCCCACGGGCCGTTCATGAGAGTTCTTTTTTCTGTGTTGTGTGTTTTTTTTTTAATTTTAAATTATCAACAACAACAAAAAAAGAAAGCCGCGCTGAACCACAGATGTTCAATCTTGATTAATCTATGACAAGAAACTTACAACTGAGAATCAATGTTTTGACATTTTTCAGATACCAATCATTAAAAGCCAACACAAAAGTTTTTTACAAGTACATGGGGGGGAGGGTAGAGAAGGGGAGTGAATGGGTTGCTTATAGAAAGATGGTCTTTCATAGGAAATACTTTTTGGTCACCTGAGCTGTTCATCATATCCCAAAGCAATAGCTTTTCTTACGATTCCTTTTAGAAGGAGAACAGACAAGAGGCTATGCTATAAATGAGCTCTCAAAGCCCTAGCTGGTTTGGCTCAGTGGATAGAGCATCAGCCTGTGGTCTGAAGGGTCCCTGGTTCGATTCCCGGTCAAGGGCACGTGCCCGGGTTTCGGGCTCGATCCCCAGCAGGGGGTGTGCAAGAGGCAGCCGATCCACGATTCTCTCTCATCATTGATGTTTCTCTCTCTCTCCCTCTCCCTTCCTCTCTGAAATCAACAAAAATACATTTTTAAAAAATTAGCTCTCGGATTAGCATGGAGACTATTCATTGTGTATATTCTCTCTGCAAGTATACGATGAGATACGTTTATATTCACAGTGCCCATTGCACGGAAGCTTTCAACGGAAAAAAAAACATTTACAAATGAAAATTGTGATTTTCATCGAGCATTCCCTTTTAATACGTCAATTTGTTAAGCGTTGTCACCAATAAACACAAGACAGGGGTTGGCAAGAGTAGGTGTACAGTTGTTCGTATGGCAAATAACACAAGAATCACTACATAATCACACAAGAATAAACTGTGTTTCTCGTCCTCGTGACTGTAAACCAATTTATGCCCAGCCCTGTAGTTAGTATGAAACACTTGGAAACCAGTATTCTTGTTTTTGGGGGGAGGGTTTTTTGTTGTTGTTTTATAATGTCTTTTTTAAAAAATATATTTTTATTGATTTCAGAGAGGAAGGAAAGGGAGAGAAAGATGGAAACATCCATGATGAGAGAGAATCATTGATTGGCTGCCTCCTGCACACCTCCTCCCGCACCCCCGGGGATGGAGCCTGCAACCCGGGCATGTGCCCTTGACCGGAATAGAAGCTGGGACCCTTCAGTCCGCAGGCCTACGCTCTAGCCACTGAGCCAAACAGGCCAGGGCACAAACTAGTATTTTTGAACACACGTCTTAGCTTCCTGTTTCTTCCGGAAGGTGTCTAAACCTGGACACAGGGAACACAGCCAACGCGTAATCATGATCAAACTGCGTTGCCCTTATTGTCAACTGTTATCCTGCAGGTCCTCCTCCCCAAAACCACACATTTCACAGCAAAGCGACCACTCTGAGACACGGCTAGCCCTCTGGAGCAACTAGAACAAAATAAAAAGAGAGAACACACCATTTTTCCAACGAAGGAAATTAACCTCATCCATGGGCTGTCATGATTAAACAGAAACGACCGCTTCCGTGGATATAAAAGAACAACAGTGACCAAGACCTTGAAAAAAATTCCCCGACTACGACAACTCCCTCTTCTAAACACCACGTCCAAAAGAAACTCAACGACCAACAGGCATTTTAATTCGCAGACCCCGGGGACTTCCCGTGTCCCTGTGGCTGAAGGCACCCCTGCCCTCACGCCATCGGTTCTGTCCCAACCAGTGTTTTCTGCACACATTCGTCCGTTACTTCCGATCCTCGGCAAGGTTAACTTTTACCAGAGTTCAATGTGAAAGGGCTGCTTCAGGTGAATGCACGTTCCGTTTGAACGCTAAAGGCACCGGTCCTCCGTGGCATGTCTGCCACCGGACCAAGACGAAACGGTTTCTGAAATGACTAATTTCTGGACGCTTCCCCGGCTGCAGAGCACGCTCAGATGCACCAGACTGATAGCTCGGCGCTGTATTTCCAGATTCGACCGATAAGGAAGGAGGAAGTGAAAGAGGAAAGGGCCCTATCTGATCTGCACCGGTTCTGCCAACTCAGTGACAGAGCCTGTGGTTCATCGTCAACGTCCTTCTTTTAAAAAAAAATTTTTTTTTTAAAGAAAGCACCCCTCGCTTGTGATGATAAAAATCTACAGCCTTTCAGTGCTCTTGGCAAGACAGCTTTTGAACACGTTTTTATTAAAATCCGAAATACGGGTGTTGGAGATACAGCACCGCCTTTTCTTCACTTCGTTTATTTTGAATGTATTTTTATTGATGTCAGAGAGGAGGGGAGAGGGAGAGGGAGAGGTGGAAACATCCATGATGACAGAGAATCATGGATGGGCTGCCTCCTGAACGCCCCCTACTGGGGATCGAGCCCGCAAACCCAGGCCTGCGCCCTGACGGGGAATCAGGCACCCCACCCCCCAGGGAAAGGGAAGGGGGCGGGGTGCGACCATTCACCCGAAAAACCCAGAAGTCACCTTGGATGCCAGCAGCAAAAATAAAGAACAGGTGACCCACAGGCATACCTACTGAGACAAGTTATAATCAAACTGTTAAAAAAATACAGGGTGTCCCAAAAAAGAACGTACACACCCTTTAACAGCGGAGAGCTCCATTTTTGCAAATGCAATGCCTGTTAATACACGACGCCTTTATCATTATTCACAGCGTGTGTGTACATTTTTGGGGGACACCCTACATAAACTCCGCAGCATCCTCATCGAAGTAATACCCAACAGATACTGAGTGTTGAATTGGGATTTTTAAATACATATATTTTTTTATTTCAGAGAGGAAGGGAGAGGGAGAGAGAGATATAGAAACACCGATGATGAGAGAGAATCATGGACCGGCTGCCTCCTGCACGCCCCCCACTGGGGATCGAGCCTGCAACCCGGGCCTGTGCCCTTGACCGGGAGTCCAACCGTGACCTCCTGGTTCCTAGGTCGATGTTCAACCACTGAGCCACACCGGCCGGGCTGAAATGGGCTTAGGCTTTCACACCTGCAGGCGAGGCGGCTCTATGAAGGAGGATGTGCTGACCAAAGCCACAACTAAAGTCCAGCTGGACTCCAAGATTTTCTACATGAAACAAAGGCAGCGCCTCTCACAGACATGGTTCTAAAGAGCCACGCTTGCTGTGGCCCCGGCTGGCAGGTGGGAGAACAGGAGAGTTTGGTTCAGGTCAGCGACCCGCGGATAAAGGGAACCCTTCCGGCCCGGATGACCCTAATCCATCCAGTGCGTGCGGATGGACAGGGAGCCAGAGAGAGTTCTCGAATGAGCGCACCGCCAAAGCCAAACCCTGGTGACCACATTTCACTCACAGGTGTTGGTGTTTTTTTTTTCCACGTGGGGCCATATGCAAAGTGTCCTAAACCACTTCATTGCGACGTGTGATTCACCAAAGCCCTACTTTCTAAATGTCAGGGTTCCCCTGGCTTGGGGCTGTGTGGGTGGGTGCACACGGGTTTCAAGGCGGCCTCCAAAAAAACATACATCTACCCCTAGCCGGTGTGGCACAGTGGATAGAGCGTCGTCGGCCGGAGGACTGAAGGGTCCTGGGTTCGATTCCGGTCAAGGGCACACACCTCGGTTGCAGGTTCCCCGGCCCTGGTCCGGGTGCGTGCAGGAGGAAACCGATCGGTGTGTCTCTCTCACATCGATGTTTCTCTCTGCCTCTCCCTCTCCCTTCCACTCGCTCTAAAAATCAATGGAAAAAATATCCTCGGGTGAGGATGATCAATAACAACGACGACATACATACACAGTGCAGGCCCCGGTGAGTCTGTGGTTCAGAGGAAAGACGCGGGTCCTGAACGGGAAAGGCTGAGCGGAGGGCGTCCCGACCCAGCCCAGCCCGAGACCCACACGGTCCCACACGTCGAACGCCCCTGCCACAGTCACAGCGACTCACGCCCCAGGTCGCTTCCGTGACCAGCGGCTCTCCGAAGTGACGGATCGGCGCTCACGTGCCCCGTGGCTGGGCACGGAGCCTCGTCCGATCACCTGGATCCACCCGGGACTCACTCCCCACGCGGGCCAGGCCGCGAGAAGCTCTTCCTTCCAGACCCAAAGGAGGAAGCGGGGCGGGCCTCTCAGGAGCTTCCCTGAAGCAGGACCAACAGACACTCAGACAGCGTCTCCGCCTGCGTGTTCCACCCGCACATTCCGGCCGGGACACAGTGAGTGCCGAGTGCGGGTGCGCCCCAGGCCAATAGGACCCCCACAGGCGAGACGCACCCCAGGCGAAGTGGGCTGGGAAACGCCTTTGTGCACGGGGCGTGGGGACGCGGGCTGGGTCAGGATCCGCTGGCCTCGGCTTCTGATGTCAGAAAAGGGACAGAGGGACCGGCTGGTGTGGCTCAGTGGTTGAGCGTCAACCTAGGAACCAAGAGGTCACGGTTCGATTCCCGGTCAGGGCACATGCCAGGATTACGGGCACGATCCCCAGTGTGGGGCGTGCAGGAGGCAGTCGGTCCATAATTATTCTTCCTCATCATTGCTGTCTCTCTCTCTCTCTCTCTCTCTCTCTCTCTCTCTCTCTCTCCCTCTCCCTCTCCCTCTCCCTTCCTCTCTGAAATCAATAAAAACATTTAAAAAATAATAAATAATAATAAATAGGGGGAGAGATCAACCAAAGGATTTATATGCAAGCATATAGGCCTAACCAATGGACACAGACAACAGGGGGGTGAGGGCATGAGTGGGGGGGATAGGGGGTAACCTGGGGATAAGGACACATATGTAATAACTTAATCAATTAAAATAAATAATAATAAATACGTGCACCCCATTCAGCATGTTCTCGCAGATTGCCTCCCATGATCACAGAGCAGCCGGCCGTGAGCTCATGCGAGGTGGGGTGAGGCCACGGGCCAGGTGATTAAAACAACAGATCAGATCTGCTTGCCAAGCACCCCAGACGCAGGAGCTGGGCCTCAGGGCACGTTTCCTCGCTTCTCTGTGCTGCTCCGGCTTCTCCCCGTGCCAGACGGGAGACGGGCGGCTCCTATCTCCTCCACGATCCGTCCAGGAAAGAAACACCCACTTCGGAGAAGCCATCGTCAGAACACCGCGGAGGAAGCCAGCGGGCACGCGGGCCAGGGCCGCGGCGCTCTGTGCCACCCTTTCCCCCAAGTCCCACGCAATGTCTCTGACACAACACGCGTGTCCAAATGCGGATCCGAGGAAGGTGACCGAGTTCTGCGTCAACAAACAAGACGGTGACAGATCACTAACCAAAACCTGATTAACAATCACGCGTCTCCAAAGCGGTTTCCGACCTGAACTGCTGGGGATGCACGAAAGGATTTAAAATGTCCCCACGAAGAAGTGGGCGAGGGAAGCCTGCTGAGTACCTTACGGTAACGTCCCCAACCTTCGCCAACACCCACTTGACCCCCGGTGTCCTATGTTCTACTGGATCCCGTGGCCATCAGAAATACAAACCGCTATTCCCAGACATGCAGAGAGCATTTTGATTGATTTTCCAACTTTGATTCCTTGCCAGGTGCTTAGGAAATCGTCTTCCCACTCCCCCCTCCGCCGCGACACCCACCACTGACTATTTTAGGGATGGTTGGGCCCCAGGGCAGCGTGGGTCCCTGGGATCCGAGGTGCTGGGGGATTCTGGGAAAGAAACTTCCTGGCCGGATCTCCCGTGACCTACTTTTACACTTCCTCTTCTGTGAAACGACCAGCAAGCTTCCTTATTATCCAAACGGATTTTGAATCCGGGCCCTAAAGCATCCTGATTCACACAGGTGGTTTTTCAGGTAAATTCCTACAGAAGTAGGGCCTCCGGGCGCCTTTAACGTCCAGAGGTGGGGAACGTCCGGCCCTCGGGCCGTATCTGCCCCGGGAAAACATTTGGTCTGGCCCTGCACACCTTAAAATAGAGGTGCCTTAGGGGTGAGTTCTTTAAACATCTGACCGCCTTAGCTGGTTTGGCTCAGTGGATAGAGCGTCAGCCTGCGGACTGAAGGGTCCCGGGTTCGATTCCGGTCAAGGGCACATGCCCGGGTTGTGGACTCGATCCCCAGTGGGGGGCGTGCAGGAGGCAGCCGATCCGTGATTCTCTCTCGTCATTGATGTTTCCATCTCTCTCTCCCTCTCCCTTCCTCTCTGACATCAATAAAAACCTATTTAAAAAAATACAAATGACGATGTTTCTAAAAAGCAGCAGTTTCCACAGCAACAGCCAAAGGGCAAGAAGAGAAGAAAAGCCCAAAGTGGGAAAATGCAACTGGACAGACCAGTTCCTAAAAGATGGGCAAGGGCAGAGGGAGTGAGGATGGAGTTGGCCACTCGCAAGTCTCCAGGGAAAGGTCACGGCCCGCCTGCCCAGGCACGGAGCACTCCCCGCGGGCCACCGGGTCCTTTCATCGCGATGACTTTAGCTGCATGCACTCATGACTATAAGCGGCTGTCTTCCATCAACAATAGGTTATAAGAGGCTGTCCTCCCTCTCAACATTGAGGTTTCAAACTATGTTTAAAAAAAACTATTCGTAGCCCTGACCAGTTTGGCTCAGTGGATAGAGCGTCGGCCTGCGGACTCAAGGGTCCCGGGTTAAATTCCAGTCAAGGGCATGTACCTTGATTGCGGGCACATCCCCAGTAGGGGGTGTGCAGGAGGCAGCTGATCGATGTTTCTCTCTCATCGATGTTTCTAACTCCCTATCCCTCTCCCTTCCTCGCTGTAAAAAATCAATAAAATATATTTTTTTAAAAAAACAACAACAAACTACTCATAGTTTTGCATTTCTGATGTCTGTCTGTAGACGCACAGAAATTAAAATGTACAAACCATGGCAGAAAGAGCGCTGCCACGGTCCCAGCCGGCCAGCATGCAGCAGCCAGGGGCCGGCCGAGCCCGGACTGTGTGCGACTTCAACTTCCTGCCCGACATCAGCCACACCCCTGTCGCCACAGCCGGGGTGGGCACCTCTATTTTAAGGTGTGCAGCTCCAAATTGCTTAAGAGCATAGAATTGCTTTTTTAAAAATAAAGGCATATAATTGCTTTAAAAAAAAAAAGGCATATAATTGCTGGCCAGTTTCTGAAGCTGAGAGTGTCGGCCGCCTTTGCACCAAGAATAGAGGCCTCATCTCCCCAGATCCACACCTAAGCATCAGGTGTCGAGGGTCCGAGCGCACCGCCAGGGAAATCACACCGGCCACACCCGTGAAAACATCACACAGGACACGCTGAAAAGGAAAGAATCCGGAAGATAACCCTCATTCTCTCTCTCTCACACACACACACACACACACACACACACACACACGACAAAAGTGGGGGAAACGAACAAAAATCACCCTCGCAAAGGGCTCTGTCTTTTCAGGAAATTGCACAGAACTGACAGCTGAAACCCTTCCCAGGCATGTCCCACGCCTGCTTCCCTCCCTCCCTCCCTCCCTCCCCGCACCAGGGCCGGGCAAGCGAGGTCATTCCAACTGAAGGGGCAATTCCAGGACCATCAGGAGGGAACGGCTGAGGCTCCCCCTGGACTGGCGGAGAATTGCCACTGGTGTTTGATCTATTTATTATTTTTTATATTTTTTTTATTGAGTTGAGAGAAAGAGGAAGAGAGAGACAGAAACATCCATGATGAGAGAGAATCATCGATCGGCTGCCTCCCGCACCCCCCACCCCCACCAAGATCGAGCCCCCAATCCAGGCAGGTGCCTTGACCAGGAATCGAGCCGTGACCTCCTGGTTCCTAGGTCGGTGCCCGACCACTGAGCAACACCGGCCGGGCCTCACTGGCGTTTTAAAAAGGAGCCACCTTTCCGAAGAGGAGTGAAAGGAAGTGAAACATGACTGCCCCACGGGACGGCCGCTCTGGAAGCTGTGTGTCTCCCACACCTGACACCGAAGCTGCACAGACAACATTCACAATTCCTGCCAGCGCAGGGCCGAGACCCGCAGCGATTTCATTCCCAGCAACGAACGTGAGGCGACAGGAGGCGCAGAGAGTCACGCAGCGAGAACCCTCACGCGTCCCCCACGCGGACACGCGCTGGGACGGACTCGGCCATCTGAGGAATGGAAAGAACGCACATACCTTCGCCTTCAGAGGCGTGACATTTCACGTTCAATACCAGGTCAAAGGTTCTTTCTGGGTTTTCCCTAAACGGAAAAAAAAAAAAAGAGCGTCATTATATTCCCATCCCATGACATGCGTAACCATCTCCGTAAAGCCGATCTATCATGATAAAAGCATAATATGCTAATTAGACTGGATGTTCTTCCAGACCAGCGGTTCTCAACCTGTGGGTCGAGACCCCTTTGGCAGTCGAACGACCCTTCCACAGGGGTCGCCTAAGACCATCCTGCATATCAGATATTTCCATGACGATTCATAACAGTAGCAACATGACAGTGATGAAGTAGCCACGAAAATAATTTTATGGTTGGGTCACAACATGAGGACCTGTATTTAAAGGGCCAGAAGGTTGAGAACCACTGTTCCAGACGGCAGAGGGGGATGAGCCCCTTGCACGAATTCCGTGCACCGGACCTCTAGTATTCTCATCGCTCGGAAAAGGAACTGTGCGCTGGTCTCAGTCGGTGCCGTGGGACGACATGGCCGCAGTGCAGCGCAAAATACAGTTTTGTTGTTGCCATTTTCCCACGTCAGCAACTTGAGAGAGAGATGAGGCCCAGAAGGCCTGAGACGCCGGGCAAAACATTTCACCTCTGAGCTGGAGCTTTCCCCTATAAAGGGCCTAGTTCGCATCACAGTGCAATTGTGAGGATTAAGTAAATAAAATGGTGAGGATTAAGGAAATTGAATAGTACATCTGGAAGTACCTTATAAAGAATTAAGTGATGCCTCTATGAAAAGCATCATCTTGCCTGGCTGGTGTGGCTCAGTGGTTGAACACTGACCTAGGAACCAGGAGGTTAAAGTTCAATCCCCCGTCAGGACACATGCCCGGGTTGCAGGCTCGATCCCCAAAGGGAGGCGTGCAGGAGGCAGCCGGTCACTGATTCTCTCTCATCATTGATGTTTCTCTCCCTCTCTATTTCTCCCTCTCCCTTCCTCTCTGAAATCAATAAAAAATATATTTTTAAATATAAAATGTTAATATATATTTTAAGTATAAATTTTTTAAACATATATATTTTTAATGCATCATCTTTATTGTATAGAATCTAAACGAAAGCCGCATGGTCCTACGCACAGAGCAGGCCTCGCAATATTATGAACCACCTGGCCCCGCCCGCCCCTGCCAGGCCACCATCAGCCACGGATCACGCTCCCTCAGTGACATGCGTGGCCCCTACTTTTCTTGACACGTAATTACTCGACTTGGGCACGTTCGAAGCAGCAGACCACACACACGGACGGCAAGGCCACCACCACCAGCCTGGATTTCCGTCCATTATCTCAGGGGGAAGGACACACCTGCTTGCTGGTTCCACTTTCCCACCAGGAGCTGGACAGGGGGGTGGGGGGGGGTGGAGAGGGGGGCGCTGCCTCGCTCAGACATCCCCTTCTACCAACTTCTCAGACACGCCACCGACTCACGAGCTTCGGTTCAAAAACTGAATTGCAATCTAGGCAGGCACTTTTTTTTTTTTCAAAACAGGGTCCTGTTTTCACCTCTTTCTGCCAGAAGATAAGAGATGCCAGTCTGATACCACAGTGGCCACGTGACCAAAGTGCTCAGATATATGTCAGGTTCCCCCGGCAAGGCCTGGCCAGGAGGCCTTCGCGTCTGATCAGACCCCGTCGCTGGGCTC